AAAATGAACCTATTTCATAAAATCTAAGACACGTGATTTTAAGATGCATCCTGATCTGAGATGTTAAAATGTGAAATTCTTAGAATCAATGAAATAACATGCTTCAATGTGATAAACACTGTAATATTTGTAGGAATAAGGCATTGTACTGATGAAGCAGGTTTATCTATCTGTGCCAGGGGCAACAATGGGGAAATTTCCTAAGAGGATCAACAATAGCTAGTGTGTACCTGAAGTTCTTTACCTGTAATTCATTTAATCCTTACCTATAAGATAGGTACGAACTACTGTCATCATTTGAAAAATGAGCAAACTGAGGTAAGACAGAGACATGAAGTCATTTTCCAGGGTTATACGGCTAGGAAGCGATGGAAGGATACAACCCTGCGCAACCTAGCTCAAGTCCACACTCAACCAGTACAAGGTGTTTGAGCTGGGCCTTGAAGAATGAATTCATTGGGTAGACAAGGGAAAGGCATTCGAAGCAAGAGGAATGACTTATACAAAAGAATGAAACACACAAAGACATGTTATGGGAAGTGAGCAGCTTAGTGTGGCTGGATCATAAGGAATGTGAGAAGTAGAGTGATGAGGCTGGAGAAGTGGATTGGGACCACAACATCAAGAGCTTTATGTATTTTAGGTCAGTGGTTTTCAAAAAAAGGTTTTCTGCAAAGCCACAGATCCTTTTCCCAAAACAGAACTTCATGTGAAATGCCAATATATAAAACAGGTAAAAGTGGAGCTAGTTTCTGATTAAAGAGTGGCAAAGGCACTCCAATTTGGCCTCCTCCTGGGGTTTCGTGGGAAACAGTTTGAAGACCACTGAAGAGCCTATATATATGAAGGCAACAAAGCAGTTAAGAATATGAGCTCTAAGCCAATGGCAAATCCTGGTCTACCACTTCCTAGCTAGGAAACTTTGGACAAATTACTTAACCTCTGTGGCTCAGCTCCCTTACACGTAAAATGGGATTAATGATGATACACATCGTAGGGCTGCTGCAAGGAATGACTAGAGTATTTGTAAAATACCTGCAATGGTGCCTGGCACATAGGTTTGTACTCTTGCAAGTGGCAGTATGGAGGGTGGATTGAAAGAGCCTGGAGAGACTACCTAGACCTTATGAGTGAGAATGTGAGGTAAAATGGGTAGGATTTGGTGACTGGTTGCAGTGGGTGGGGGGAGGAATTTACTGAGAATGATCTCAAAGTTTTTAGCTTGAAATTGGCAGATTGAGAATGCTTAATATGCTTACTATGTGCATGTTTCACATCAACAAGCCTTATGTGTAGGGTGCTGGACACACTAAGAACCAGGAACCTACAATCAGATTGGGAGTTGGACATAAATAAAAAATATAAACAGCAATATAATAAAGCAGATGCTGTCTAGGTGACAGAAGAGGCAGGAGCAGAGGCACAGAGATCTGTGGGTTGGTCAGGCTGGAGCAGTGCTGTCCAAAAGTACAAGGCAAGCCAGAGATTTTAAAATTTCTAGTAGCCACATTAAAAAAAACTTAATAGGTGAAATTAATACATTTTTCTAACCAAGCATATAATTTTTCAACATGTAATTAATATCAAAATTTGAGGTATTTTACATTCTCTTTTTTGTGCCAAGTGTTAAAAATCTACTGTGTATCTTACACTTACAGCACATCTCAATTTGGACTAGCCGTATTTCAAGTATTCAATAGTGACATGTGGTTAGTGGCTTCCATATTGGACAGTGTGGGCTACAGGAAAATATTCACATGAACAGTAATGGAGGTTAGTTAGAGGTAGGGGTCAAACTAGAGGGAGTCTGAATGCCAGACTAAAGAAAGTAGAAAGCCTTTGAAAGATTGAGATAACAGTTTTTAGAAAGTTAATCTAGTGGTGCTACATAGGATTAAGACTGGAGATGGTTCCTAATGCCAGTCACTGTAGCAATACTTCCTTCATTCTGTGACACTGCTCCTCTGTCAGAGCACTAATGGTGCAGACTGCCTTCCCAAGCATGTACTTTTGTGCTTCACCAAAAGAACAGGTTTGCTAGATAGTGAGGATTGGGAAATTGGGGCAGAAGTAGGCAGATGCTTCCCTTCAGATGACACGCTCTTAGATGGTAAGGCTGCATCTCTGTGTGGTGCCAAAGCATGGCTAGGCACTAAAAAAAGGCCTTTTGACAGTGTTGATGAAAGCTGAGTTTCAGCCAGAGCATCAAACACTGCAGACTGAAGTGCCACAGGTATATCAAGGATGACTCAGAGAACAAATTATTTAGATCCTTCTAATAACAGCATGTACCCAAACTGGATTCCTATCTTCTTATTCTTCAAAATCTGAGGTGAAGTCATCACCCCTTTAAAATATGCTTTCCAACTTCAACCCTCCCTTCCCTTCTCAACTCCCTCCTGCTTCCTAGGGATCCATGCCAGCTGCAACTAAGCCAGAGACTATTTGCTGACATCTTCCTTACCTCATTCCTCAGGCATTCATCCTAGGCGGAGACAATTTACAGAATGCATCCTGCCTGGATCTAGCAGAATGGGAAATGGACAGTTATCTGAAGGCTCCTGAGGGCCTGCAGGGCATAGTATCTTCATCTTTCAACTTAGCACTTTTATTTATTTATTTATTTATTTATTTTATTTTTTCCCCCCAAAGCCCCAGTAGATAGTTGTATGTTATAGCTGCACATCCTTCTAGTTGCTGTATGTGGGACTCGGCCTCAGGATGGACGGAGAAGTGGTGCCTCGATGCGCACCCGGGATCCGAACCCGGGCCACCAGCATTGCAGGGCGCGCACTTAACCACCAAGCCACAGGGCCGGCCCCAACTTAGCACTTTTGATCAAATTAAGTCTTTTTAAGTAATGAGTTAAAGATACAGGAAATTAACAACCAATAGCCAACATCCTCACTAATAAACCATCTATTTGCATATGAGGTTACAGTAAGTACTAAGTAGAGATATCTCTAACTTCAAGGAGCTTCAAATACAAAACTATATTTACCATTTTTCCTGTAAACTAACTCAAATATCTTCTAAATATGGACTTCTGGTAGTTGAACAACTCTCCTAGAATTCTAGTCAATATTTAATAGGGGCCGGCCAGGTGGCGCAAGCAGTGGGGTGCGCGCTCTGCTGTGGCGGCCCGGGGTTCACGGGTTCGGATCCTGGGCACGCACTGATGCATCGCTTGTCGGGCCACGCTGTGGCGGCGTCCCATATAAAGTGGAGGAAGAGGGCC